AATAGGCTGCCCGACCATGGACGACATTCCCCAGCTTCCTTTGCAGCTGGCAAGGCCCTGTGATTCAAATCTTACCAATGGATTGTGAACAAAGTGATGTGACGCTCTTCCAAGGACAGGCTTTAAAATATTGGCCACGTGTTCCTCCATCCTCTTCCTGGGCTGTCACGTACAACCTGGGCTTCCCATAACTGAGTTTTGACCCTGCCAATGAAGACACAACACTGGAAGGCCGGGAACAGAGACTCCATACCAGTCTACACCACTCACCTTGTTAACGAGAGACAACTGAACTTGTACACTCTCATGCCCCTGGTGTTTCTTCCCTCTTGTTAAAACAGCTCGGCCTTCTCCTTGATGATTCTGCATTTCACACCCCTGTACTCCATCTCCTTTATTCCCAGAGCTCCAGGCCCGGATTCCCTGCTCTCTCCATGCACATGCTGAAAGGAAAAAACCCTGGCCCGAGCACAGAAGAAACACACCAGGAGACAGGGACTCAACCAAAGTGTACTAGGCAGGCAGAATGAACAAGCGGGCTGCCCTCTCGGAAGTGGGAGCAGCAGCCAGGAGAGTCGAGCTGGGCCTTTTATATCCAGTTAGGCTGAGCTGGACTGTTCCTATTGGCTAAGAAGGAAGGGGAGGGAAGCGAGCGGGGTTTAAGCTGAGTTGGGGTTTTCCTATAGGTGGAGAAATTCAGGCGTGGGGGGAGGGGATGTGGTGGTGAGGAAGAAGGGGGAGGGGTTTTTGTGATTCTCGGAAAAGGTGCTGTTCTAGGACCTGAAACTCTCTGCAGCCATTTTGGGTGGTCCTCCCATCTGCCCGCCACCTTCTTAGACATTGGCTAAAACTTAATTGCCTAACACATGCCCTTGGAGAAGCTGCAATGTGTTAGGCATTTGGTGAAGACACAGCTCAACTGGGCAACAGTCTTTGTGGAAAATGTTCTAGGAAGAGTTGGCAGCCTTTCTAACAAATGAAGACCCTCCCTGTCTCCAAAGTGAGAGGAGGTTTCTCTGTCTTCACTATGGCAGTCACTGCAGAGTCTCAGCAGGACCAAACAAACCTCCTCTTCCTGCTGATTAATCAGCCCCTTCCCCATCCCCAATAACCCAGGCTAAGCCTTCACTTATTGCTCTGGCCAAAATTGCTTCTTATCCTGCTTCCAGAGTTCCCCTTACCTTTGAGCACTATTGCTCTCTTTTAGCCCCCAGGCTGGAGGCTCCCTGGGGGCAGAGACTGGGTCCTACTGGGACAACACCACCCTTCTGCTTCTGCTCCAGCAGATAGAAGAGGCTGTAATGCAGCATCCTCCACAGCTCAAATTTTTGGGCCTCCCAGTCATCTCTGCCTTTTCTCCTGAAGGGAAATGGTCAAAACATCCTTCAGAGGGTCAGGAGAGCTGTGTCAGATCTCTCTGCCCTGACTTCATGTGCGTCCTGGATAAGTTACTTAATCTTACTAGGCCTCAATTTCTTCATCTGAACAAGGAGTATGTGTGACATTCTCTGCCCTTTCCACCTCTTAGGATGGTCTTAAGGGCCAAATGTACGTGAGGGTGCTGGAAGCAGTATGGTAATTGCCTTAGGGTGGCTTCCTCAGACACAGACTCTGAAATGAGATTTACATTTAGGAGGTGTATTGGGGAGTGATCTTGGGAACATCACCTGCAAGGGAGGGAGAGGAGCAGGATCGAGTGGAGAGAGAAGTTGAACTATGTCACAGTTGCTACAGAACCTCATCGGATCATATGGGGAGCTCTGGATCTGGGATGGCCCTTTTGAGATTTCCTAAATTGGGGCAAGAGGGGCAGCCCTTTCTGTCCCCGTGTCTACCTGTACTGGATGCAGGCCACCCTTGGTGGGGCGGAATAACCTGGAGTAAGGCGGGTCCCTTCAGGTGAAGCAGTGCCGAGAGAGGGACTCAGCTATGGGCTGTCATCAGCCAACAGTCCCAGCAGCTGGGGAACAAGTGCCTCAGAGGGACGGGGGCATAGGGGTGGGATGCCACAGTATCCATTACCACAGTGATATCAATAACCCATGCAACTGTGATAAGGGTCATAATAGTAATAATCTATCACAAATGTATAGCAATTGATAGTTTATAAAGTAATTGCACAATCATCATCTTATTAGTTCTGCAAAGCAATCTTCTGGGGTAAGTAGGGTGTGAATTTTTAACCCTGTATTTGAGGTGAAGGTCTTAAAGTTTAGAAAGGGCCCTGGTAGAGACTGAACACCTGACCATGAGACACCAAGTGACTATGCAACCTTAGCTCCCCATCATGAACTGGGTGCTGTCTGGTTCATCAAGCCATAAAGCTAGCGTTCTATTATCTGGTGAAAATGATATAGCTCAGACGATGTCATCTATTCTGCCACATTGCTGCCTCTTCCTCAGTCTACACCTAAGGCCTTGTGGCAAATTCCCTATGATCAGTTTATGGAGGAAGAAAAAACTCAGTCCTGGTGATGTCATCTATTCTGCCACATTGCTGCCTCTTCCTCAGTCTACACTAAGGCCTTGTGGCAAATTCCCTATGATCAGTTTATGGAGGAAGAAAAAACTCAGTCCTGGCACCAACTGGAAGTGGATGGTTGTAGCACTACAGGAATGCCCTGAAAAACATTGCAGAAGGCAAATCCTTTCAGTGAACAGAATTTCAAGCAATACGTCTGGTTGTCCACTTTATTAAAATGAAGACAGAAGTTCAGAAATATGAATTTATACTTATTCATTGGATGGATGGTTTGGCTGGATGATCAAAAACATGGAAAGAATTAGATTGGAGTATTGGTAACAAGGACTGTGGGAGAAGGTATGGGGATGGACCTCTAACAACGGGCACAGAATGGCAGGGCATTTGTGTCCTATGAAAATGTTTCCCCAAAAGGTGCCCAATGCAGAGAAGGCCATTGGTTGGTAAACTAATGGACAAGATGACTCATTCTGTAGAGGTCAGTCATTCTCTTTATCCAGCTACATCGTGCTTGCTCAGTAGGCTCATGTGCAAAATGATCGTGGCAATTGAGCTAGAGGCTATAAATGGACACAACATAGACTTGCTCTCATCAAGACTGATTTAGCTAATACTACTGATGAGTGCCCAGCTTGCACAGAGTTCCTGATATGGCACCATTCGTCACAGAAACTAGCCATCTAATGGCAGATTGATCACACTGAACACCTTCCACCATGGAGGGAGCAGCAATTTGTACTCGATTATTCTATACATGGATTTGCCTTCTCTGACCACTACATTCATGGACTTATGAATGCCTTGTTTCCAGTCTTGGTATTCCATGTAACATCACTTTTAAACAAAGACTTGATATCACAGCAAAATAAATGCAGCAGCGTGATTATGCCTGTGGAATTTTCTGGTCTTACCACGTACTCTTATTTAGAAGCATCCGGAATTATGGAACATTGGAATGGCCTATTGAAAACTGTTGCAGCGCCAGGGGGGAGAGGCTGCAGTGCTGGAGTGCTGTGCTACAGGATGCAGTATGTACTTTGAACAAACCACAATGTTGTTTCTCCCACAGCTAGAAAACATGGGTCCAGCAATGCTGGCATGGAAGTGGCAGTGACTACTCTCATTATTACACATAATAACCTGTTCACAAAACTGCAGCTTCCCATTCCTGAAACACCAGACCTGGATGGTTTAGGGATTATAGTCCCCAAGGGAGGAATGCTGCTATTGGGGGATACATCAAAATTCAGTTTAAAAGTTTAGATTGCCTCTTGGCCATTGAGGTCCTCATACTACTTAGACTACAGAGAGAGATGTAGGTTACTCTACTGGCTGGGGTGATTGATCCTCATTATCAAGGATGAATTGGGTTGCTGCTACACAATGGTAGCATGAAAGACTATATATAGAAACTAGGGGATTCTCTGAGGTGTCCCATAGTGCTTCCACATCCAGTAGTAAAAGATTAATGGAAGACCTCAGCAGCCCAAGGACCACCAAAGTCTTGAGTCATTTCACCAGGAAAAATACTCCAACCAGCTGAGATGCTGGCTGAGGGCAAAGAGAACATAGAATAGCTAGTGGAAAAAAGAGAAATTTTAAATGTCAGCAATGGCCTTGGGATAAATTACAGAGATGAGGACCGTAGCCGCGATGGGTATTTTCTATTTTGCTTGTTATGTGTGTGTATATATTTTGAATACATTGAATATAAGGAATGCTGGTGATGGTTAAATTTACATTTTAATCTGTATATTATAGTGTAATTAAGGTACGATTATGATCTCTAGAACTAGAGGAGGAATGAGAAAAGAATCCAACATCATCCAGAGTGATGTGACTGACTGATGGGGCTTTTTGAGTCTCACTTTTGGAAAGAGGGTGAGCATGTCCGTGTTTCAGGAGGGAAGTTGATCCTGTTAGGATTTAGCATGATGTCCGTGTTCTTGAGTGAAAGCTTACTTATGAGTGGGGAAGGCGGTGTGGATGTTTGAGTAGCCAAAGGGGTGGGCAGTGCCAGACAGTGTGTGATGTAAGTTTCACCCTTGCCCTGTCTTGTCCCCGGGTGACTATTTTTTCTTTTGGCTTTGATGGAAAAATGTGCAAATTCTTGTACTTTTTTTGCAAAATAAATAAAACTATGCCTTCCGTTGTACAAATTATACTCCTGATTAAACGTTCTTTGGGCATTTTAACCCATTTTTCCCTCTGAGAAATTGGGGTGGGGGCATGAGCTCTGGGTATCCCCTAAAGGTTCATGCATGGATTAATGTGAACAGATGCTCTGTATACTGTGAAGTGCTGTGCCCAAGTGAGATGGGTTGAGGTCAAGGTCAGAGCTTTGGAAATTCCATCCAGAAGCCAGCTCCAGAACTAATAACTTGAGACCTGAACTCAACTCTTCCTTGCTCGTGTGAAGAAAACTGAGTCTGAAACTTTACGTCTCTACCCCTCTGGCCCCAACCTTTGGGAATGAGAGCTGGATGGACAACAGAGTTTAGAAATGAGAAGCAACTCCTCCTCCTGGATGCTTTATTGGGGGCTTTCAGTGGTTTCTAAGCACAGTGGCAGTGACACCCAGACCCTTTCCCATCATGCAAAAGGCACAGGAAAGTGAGACCCGACCAGGGTGGGCAGCGTGAATGCAGAGACCCCCCTTCGTGGCATGGTGGGGAGTAGGGGGCAGGGGGGCCCTGGGAGTGATGGGATAGGTGGGCCCTAAAGGAGATGGCTTGGGCGGAGGCTGGGAGAGGGACCTGAGGTTCATCCACCTCTGGACCCACCCCTGCACTTGGGCCGGGACTGACCTTCCGAGAGAAGGTCAACATGGCTTTCAGTGAAAGTCCCACCTCACCGGGTGGGAAGACTCAACTCAAGGCAGGAAGGGGATGATGGATGCTGCCTTCAGGGATTTCTCTTAAAGTGCCAAACCAAACACACTGGCCAAATCAGGAGGGGAGTGAGAGGGTGTGCTCATGGTGTCAGTCCCAACCATGGCTTGGTTTTTGGGTGCTGCTGCCTTGGCTCGAGCCAGTGCTGTCTCAGTCCATGTCCAGGAGAACAATGAAGCCCCTTCCGATCTTCAGGGGCCTCCCAGGGGTTTCTGGTTCTCCAGCCCCACCCAGAGGTACTGGTTAGAAGAGTCGAATCTTGATGTTGGCTTTGTCCTGTGGAAGAGTTCCCTGGGCAAGAGGGAAGGGGAGGCCAGGGGTCAGGCCCTCTGTGCTCCCAGCACCTCCCAGAATCTGGGCCCTGGTGGATGAAATGGCCTGGGACTCACCTCAGATCCTAACAAGTCCCCACAGTTCCATCATGAGACCTTGAATCAAAAGAAAAGGCATTCGTTCGTGTTTTGTTTCTGTTATTTTTCTCTCTCTCACTTTCTCTCTCTCTCCTTTTGTAGAGCCGTGGCCTCTATGAAGTCATGGCACTGCAACATCTACTTCTAAACTATGGAATGTTTTCACACTGACGGTAGAATTACTCAGAACAAGGGGCGGGGAAGGGCTGTCCAAGTGTTCATGAAACAGTGAGTTACTGAGAGCTCGTTGAGAATCACACAGCACAGAGACACCAACAGTCAGACACAAGCCCCAGGCCCAGCTCTAGATGTATTTTTTCTTGAGGTACCAGTAGGCGAAGTAGCCCATCCCGCCCAGGGAGCCCATGAGGAAGGATGCTCCGAAGAAAGATGGGGGTTTCCTTTTGACCAGCCGGAATGCATTGGGGATGACCGCTGACAGCAAGGTGGTGTGGATGTCACCGAGGACTTTCCGGAAGGCAAAGCGTCTCTGGACCCTCTCAAAGAAGGACTGCAGGTTGGGCCGGCTGCCGTCTTCCCAGTATTTCTTGGACAGTCCCAGGAACTTGAGGCGGTGCAGGGTGGCTCCCAGGAGGACATCAGCGAGGGTGAAGGCACAGCCACAGAGCCACAGTTCGCATTTCTGCCCTATAGTGCAGGAGAGAGGAGATGCGGGGAGGGTATCACTCGCTTCTCTCTCATTAACTCCACCATCTACCCTAGAGTTCCCCAAGGGCCACTCATTCCTGTACAACTTAAATGATTTTTGCCATATCCTTAAACCACCTCTATTATTATTTATTTTCTTAGAATAAACTGACTTTTAAAAGTGCAAATAAAAGAGAATAAAATGTATTTAAACTCTAGACTCACATATCCAAGTGCCCATTTGACAGCTCCACTCGGCTGTCCACTCTGCATTTCATACTTGACATGTCCAAATGGAATTCCTGATGGTCACCCCCACACCCACCACACTCATCCCCATCTCAGTATCGGCGCTTCCGCCTTTCTAGCTGCTCAGGTCAAATGCCTCAGTGCCACAATGAATTCTTCTTTCTTCCATCCGCCACACACAACCTGTCAGCAATTCCTATCAGCTTTATCTTCAAAATACATCCAGAATCTGATGTCACCTCCACTTTCACCGTCCTAGCCCAAATACCCATTATCTCCTACCCAAACTATCAGACTTTCTCCTTAAAAGGTCTCCCTACTTCTGCCCTTGCCCCCCTTGAGTCTATTCTCAGTGCAGCAGCCAGAGGCATCCTGTTAAAATTTAAATCAGATCATGTCACTTCTCTCTGCTCAAAATCCTTTAATGACACCCCATTGTGATCAGATTAAAAGCTGAAGCCCTTCTAAGCCCTGCAAGGCCCTCTTTGATCTGGTCCCCAGGAACCTCTCAGACTTCAGATTCTGCTTCCCTTCTTTACTCTTCTCCAGCCACACTGGCCTCCTTCCGGTTCCTCATGCCAGGCACGTTCCCACCTCACGGCCTTTGCACTTGCCACTCCCTCCGCCTCGAACAGTCTTCCCCCACATAGCCACAGGGCGCAGTCCTCTCCCTCCTTCAGGTCTTTGCTCAAATGACTTCTTTTCAGGGGCTTCATGGGCCACTGATTTAAAATTAAAACCCACCCCCAGCAGTCACTATTCCCTCCCCTGCTTTGTTTTAACAGAACTCACCACGATTATTACACCATTTATTTTACATTTTATTGTCTTCGTCCTCTACTAGAATGGAAGTTCCATGAGGGCAGGGATTTTGGTTTATCTTGTTTGTGGCTGTATCCCTTGTACCTAGAACAGTGCCTGGCACACAGTAGTTGCTCAATAAATCTCTACTGGATGACGGATGAATGAAAAAAGAAACTATATCATTAACACTATAGATTATATCATTAACACGGACATAAACTGTCTTAAGTGATAAAAGTAAACATAAGAAAAACAAAACAAATGCTATTAAATTCCAGAGGGGTACTACTGCCTGCCAAAATCTCTGAGCCCATGACTTATTTTTTTTTTTAATTTTTTAATTTTATTTTTTTTAAAGATGACCGGTAAGGGGATCTCAACCCTTGGCTTGGTGTTGTCAGCACCACGCTCAGCCAGTGAGCAAACCGGCCATCCCTATATAGGATCCAAACCCGCGGCCTTGGTGTTATCAGCACCGCACTCTACCGAGTGAGCCACTGGCCGGCCCTTGTTTTGTTTTTAAGGGGCAGATATTAACACATATTATAAAGGGGTTAAGTACTAGCATTATACTAATATTATTTCTCTTATATAATCAAAAGAATTGAAAATAACTCTAAGTGGTTTCATATGTTCATCATGTACCATCTAAAATTAGTCTGCACATTTAGGAAACACTTGTTCGTGCAGTGTTTTCTCCCAGTTGTTTAGACTTGAAATTCTGGAGCTTGTTTGGTCTCCTATATCACCTCTTTGCTCAAAACCTTCAATTGTCCCTGCTGACATGTTTTTTTTTTTTTTTAAAGATGACTGGTAAGGGGATCTTAACCCTTGCCTTGGTGTTGTCAGCACCACGCTCAGCCAGTGAGCCTGCTGACATGTTTTTTTTTTTTTTTAAAGATGACTGGTAAGGGGATCTTAACCCTTGCCTTGGTGTTGTCAGCACCACGCTCAGCAGTGAGCTAACCGGCCATCCCTATGTGGGATCCGAACCCGTGGCCTTGGTGTTATCAGCACCGCACTCTCCCGAGTGAGCCACAGGCCGGCCCCCCTGCTGACATTAATGTCCAAATTCTTTTGCCTGCCTTTTATGCCCTTTCAAGAGTTAGTTTAGCTCCAATATACTTCTCTAATCTTGACTTCTCATGAATCTCCCATTTGCCCACTGTTCCCCCCAAACAAGCCATGTCCATTTCAGCCTCTGGGCCTTTGTCCCTGCTGTACCCCAGGCTTGGAATCCTCCCTCCCACCCTGCCCCCACCTCCTGTAAGGTCTGCTTTCCTGGGGCTTGCTTCTGCACTTTGAACAGGCTGTTCCTTTCAGCTCAGGAATTCCATGAATCCAGTGCTCTCCACCATCAAAACGTGAACCCCCCTTTCACTGTGTCTTCTTTTTCATTTATTCATTCATTCATTCTACAAATGTTTATCTGGTAGTATGTGTGGACATGGAGACATGACAACACACAATGTCTCTCCTCAAGAGGCTCATGATTATGGGGGCAGAAGGAGAAGTGTAATGATGGCTCTAATCAGAACTGCGTTCTTGAATACGTAACCTTCAAGACGCCCGATGGACATCCAAGTGGAGATAATGAGTCAGTAGTTAGAGACACAGGTAACTGGTTCAGATCAGCGACATCAATATGAAGATGGTACTTAAAGGGAGGAGATTGGATGATATTAGCAAAGGAGTGAGTGTAGACAGACTCGAGAATAGGGCCAGGGACTGGACCCTGAGGCCCTCCAAGGCTTAGATATTGGGCAACAAGGAGAAACCAGCAAAGGAGATGGGAAGGAGCAGCCTGTGAGGTAGGAGACGAACAAAGGGAATGTGGTGTCCTGGAAGCCAAGTTAAGAAAGTGTTCCAAGAAGGAGGGGGTGCCCAGCTGTGTGCAAATGCTGTGTAGATGTCAAATGAGAGGCCTGAGAATTGGTGATTGCATTTAGCAACTGGTGGCCTTGGCAAGAGCAGCTGGAGTAGAATGCTGACAATGAAAGCCTGGTTGGAGGGAGTTCAAGAGAGAAAAGGAAGAGAGGAATTGGAAACGGTGAGCAAAGATTACTCTTTCAAGGAGTTTTGCTAGAATGGGAAGGATAGGCCAACCTGTGAAATAGTTTGAGTGTTTTTATAAGCTGGGAGGAATAAAAAAAACATATTCATGGGAATAATCCAGCAGAGAGGGGGAATGATTCTATAGGAAAGAGTGGAGAGAATTACTGATGTGGTGTCCTGGAGTGGATAAGTGTGGATGGGATCTAGTGCACTAGGGAAGGGACTAGTCTTAGCTAGTTCAAGGACAGTCCACCCTTGGTAACAAGAGAGAGTGCATGGTACCATATTTTATCAAATCCAAGTTACCATCAAATATAAGACACTCACCCCAAAGTAAGAGAGAATAATTAGACTATTGATTGTCAGAAACATTCCAATTTCAAAGATGTTAAGATGTGACAAAGATGCATCTGCGAACTGATAAGATACAGTGTAAGTATGGACACTAAGGCTGGTGGCTTGGTGGTTGTGGGGACAAGAGCTGTGAAGATCTCTTCCTAATGTATTGAATTTATCAGTGACATAAAAAGAAAGTGATCAGGTGTGAGTTAGGATGTGGGGGGAGTGGTTGGAGGGTTAAGGAGAAAGGAAAAGGTATCGAAGAGTCATCTGGAGAGTGGGGCAGTGGGAGGCCTGGGGCAGCATTAGGTCATCTGAGGCTAGCGGTCATGAATCAGAGTGAGCCCCACCAGCATCACTGTGTGTTACTCTAGGTTCATCACAGGTGCCCATCACAGGTGCAGGCACTGAATAGGTGGAAAGTCAGGTTTAACCAGGTTTGGGGGTTCACAAAGCAGGTATGATAAAGCAAGAGAAGGGCAAGGGAGCTGAATGTGCAGGCAAGGAGGTGCTCATAGTGATGGATCAGGGAATTACCACTAGGTACAGGGGAGGTGAGGTCATGAGGGGGGTGAGGGACAGTAGACCTGACACAAGCAGAGGCTTGAAGAAGGTTTGCACATCGGGTCTTTGCTCTCTTGCTGCTCTTGGTAACCCTGTGACCACCACCACATGGACAAGCCTGCTGGGTGACGAGCAGCATGAGGTCCAGTCATCTCCACTGGCCCTGATGACAGCCAGCCAACCACTGATGTGCCAGTGAGGCCACCAACTGCCTGTTGGCCACTAATTCAGGAGTGAAGCCAGCCATCCCCACGTGGGACAGAGAAAAGCCATCCCAGCTGAGCCCAGCACACACTGCCATGCCACAAATCACAAACAAAATGTTCTTCTTTTAAGTCACTCAGCTTTGGAATGGTTTCAAATGATTTATGCAGCAGAAGCTAACTGATACAATACCCTTCTCAAAACCCTCCAAAGATTTCGACTGTACTTAGTATCAGACCTAAACTTGTAAATGTAGCTCTGAGGCTCACCTCATCCTCTGAGCTCTCTCCAGCCTCACTCAGGCCACTGTCCCCAGGACTCATCACACAGTAGCCAGTGACTCAAGAGTGTCCAGCTCTATCCCACTTCCATGGAATTCCCTCAGTGTGGGACATGCCTTCCCTGGTTCATCACTGGGCTCCTGCTTATCCTTCAGGTCTCGCTTTGAATGTCACCTTCTCAGAGAAGCTTTATCCAATTTTCCCTTTCCACTTCATTTTTGATATTAACACTTATCGCTGCTTGTAATTCTTGTAGTTCTTACTTATGGGCTTTTTTAACCAATGTCTTTTTCCTCCCCTAGACTGTAAACTCCATGAGAGCAAAAACAATGGCTGGTTTTTGTTCACAATTTTATCCGCAGGACCTAGCACACAGGTAGGTTTTCACTAAATATGTGAAAAAGTAAATGAAAAATAATGGTAATAATTATTTTAAAAACTGCTATTTCTAGAGCATTTCACCTTGAGCCAGACACTGTGCAAAGTGCTCAACACTCACTGTTGCCACAAACCCCCACAACCCTGCTATGAGTTAGATCTTGTTATTGCAGATGAGCTCAGAGAGGTGAAGTGAATTCCACAAGGTCAGGAGCCAGGAGGTGGTTGATCAGGAATATGTATCAATGTCATCTGGCTTCTTGTGAGAGGTCTTAACTGTGACATTATAGTGCCCTGGGCTCTGCCCACAAGAGGAGAAGTGGAGGGCTGGCCCGTGGCTCACTCGGGAGAGTGCGGTGCTGATAACACCAAAGCCCCGGGCTCGGATCCCACATAGGGATGGCCGGTTCGCTCACTGGCTGAGCGTGGTGCTGACACCACCAAGTCAAGGGTTAAGATCCCCTTACCGGTCATCTTTAAAAAAAAAAAAAAAGGAGGAGAAGTGGAGGGTGTAAGCTTTCTCCCTGGGCAGGTTCGAGGGCACCCTGGTGGGTGAATGAGTGACAGAGGGGCCCAGCCAATGAGACCTTTAAAACCCACAGCCACCTCCTGGGACCTTTGCTGCCCACCCTCTAAGCCCTGCAGGGACACAAGGACTGTACACACCTCTCCATTTGAACAGCCCCTGTCATCTCACCATGGGGCAGTGCAATGCTACCTCTTCTTGGAAGACCTCAGGACCAAAAAAGAGAGGGGGAAGCAAGTTCCCAGTCCAGGAATCCCCCAAGGAGTTCGTGTCCAAAGCTATTCTCCAGGACCAAAAACTCTGGGCTCCGTCCTGTTCAGACCCTGTGTTTCCCTTGATCACAACAGCTGCTGATATTTACAGACACTTCCATACTGTGTGTCAGGAACTGTGCTAAGCCCCTTGCATTTTCTCATTGATCCTCGCAACAGCACTGTGAAGAAAGTGTTCATTTTTATCACCCCTTTTACAGGACAAAAGAGGCGCCAGAGATAGTGCTTAAGAATTCGGGCTTCAGGAGCCAGAGTTTGTATCCAGGTTCCACTACTTCTGTGTGACCTCAGGAAAATTACCGAACTTCTCTGTGCCTTAGTTTCCTCATATGTTAAATGGGGTCACTAATGTTACCTACCTCCTAGGATTGTTAGGGGATTAAGTGAGTTGAAACCTGTGAAACACTTAGAACAGTGCCTGACACACAGTAAACACTGTAAAATATATCAATTGTTATGGGCTGAATTTTCTCCCCTAAAATTCACACGTTGAAGTTCTAACTCTCAGTATCTCAGAAGGTGACTCTGTTTAGAGATGGGGCCTTTAAGGAGGTGACTAAATTGAAATGAGGATGTTAGGGTGGGCCATAATTCAATCTGGCCGATGTACTCAGGAAATTTGGATACAAGAAGACACCAAGAGTGTATAGTACAGAGAAAAGACCATGTCAGGACACAGAAAGAAGGTGGCCATCTGCAAGCTAAAGAGACCTTGGGGAAGACCGACCTTGATCTGGACGTCTAGCCTCCAAAACTGTGAGACAATAATTTTCTATTGTTTAAGCTACCCAGTCTGTGGTATTTTGTTATGGCTGCCCTAACAAACAAATACATACATAAATAAATACACCTGAGATTCAAGGTCACCCAGTGAGGGAATGGCAGGGCTGGGACTCTGTCTGACCCCAAAGGCCAGTCTTGGAAGCACCATGCCTTTCAGTTCCGAGAGCTCTTCTGTGATGTCTCCCCTTGAGCACCCTCTCTGATAGAAACAGGAAAATTCCTCCTTGAGGTGTGTATTACTTTTTTTCCCACACTAAGCCCATGCTTTTCTCCAGAAAGGAATTAAGACAGCTGGCTTCAGTATTATGCATGACAATGTCACTGTTCAGGACTTTAGGTCTCTGTGTGTGAATGTCTCCCCTTGAGCACCCTCTCTGATAGAAACAGGAAAATTCCTCCTTGAGGTGTGTATTACTTTTTTTCCCACACTAAGCCCATGCTTTTTTCCAGAAAGGAATTAAGGCAGCTGGCTTCAGTATTATGCATGACAATGTCACTGTTCAGGACTTTAGGTCTCTGTGTGTGTCTTGTGCTTCAGGCATCAGTTGTGAGATGGTGGAAAGAACATTAGACACAAAGAGAGGGATCCTGTTCTTGCCGTAACCATGCCGTGTATAAGCTGCATGACCTTGAGCAAGTCACTTCATCTCCCTGAGCCTTAGTTTTCTCATGTGTATGTGACATTTGAATGCCTTTAGCTGTCATATGTATTAAACTAGTATGTGCCAAGCACTGTGCTGAGTGCTTTTAATTTTCACAAGAGTCCGACAAGATGGGATTTAGGTTTTATGCTGTATTATTACCATCCATTTTACAAATGAAACTGAGGCTCCAGTAGGGAAAGCAACTTGTCCAAGGTCACACAGTACAGGCAGCAAAGCTGGAACTGTAACTCAAATCTGTCCCACACTAAGCCCATCTTTTTATATACTGTGCTTTCCAACCTTCCCATGTACATGGACATGTGTGTGCAGGAAGCTGTGAGTGTGGCAGTGCATGCTGAACGTGCTCCATGAATTTGCATGGTTGAGGAGACAAGACTAACAGGTCTCCTAAAACAGAGCAAGATGGAAAGGTCCAAAATGAGATTTGAAGGGGAGTGTCAAAGACCGTGTGTAACAGGCAGAATGGTGTGGAGAAGGTACTCCAGGCTGGAGGGGCTACAGGAGAAAAGGTGTGGAGGTGGGAATGAAACTGGCATGTCAGGGCCCAGAGACCCACTTGAGAGCAGGAAGAGTCAAGGCCAGAGAGCCTGTGTGAACTTGGATGTCTGGCTGCAGCATGAAGGAGTCATAATACACTCTTGAGCAGGGCAAGGTGAGATGGTGTAGTGTAGTGGTCACCACCACCACCATCATCATCTTCATCAACCTTTATTAAACACCTAATATGTGCTAAGCCCTAATCTAAGCATTCTACATGTATTAGTTCATGCAATATCTCAACAGCTCTAACAGGGAGGTCCTATTATTATCTCTATTTAATATATGGGAACCCAGGGTCCAAAGAGGTGAGTACCTGACCCAAGGTTACTTAGCTAGTAAGTGGCCAAGCTAGGACTTGAACCTAGGTCTGTCTGACTCCATAGCTCATGTTCCTAACTACCTAGGGGGGCCTCTGAGTTCTCCGGGAAAAAAAAGACAGGGACTAGTCAGGGGCGGGGTGGGACGGGTGGGCTGTAGCCCCCACCTATCCCAGGGCTGGCACCCACCCTCATTCTCGAGTTTCCTCTTCTCCAGCTCGGCCTCGATCTGGTCCAGCACCATGGCTAACTCCCCAAGGATCTTCTTCAGGTAGCTCACGTCATCGTGCTCCAAGATTTTGGCCTGTGGGCAGGACAAGAAGGAGCCAGAGAGGCTGAATAGGCCTCAATAGAGCTAGGATATCCAGGGATGGAAGGAGCTTTGCCTAAACCCCCTTCTGCGAACCCAGCCTCAAGTAACCCCTGGCATTGCATAGCACCCTCATCTGGTGCTTACAACAGTCTTGTGAGCGTGGCTATCTTGCCCAACCCCATTTTATGGGGCTGGTACTCTCCTACGCCCCACTGCTGGGAGGGTTGCTCGCTAGCAGCTCACAGCTGCCCCTTCTCCAGAGAACTGCTCTCAGCCAAGGAGGAACGGCCTTGCCCAGAAATACCTGGGAGGTTATCCCCCTCCCGCCAGGAAGTCTGACTGACTGATATGGGGGTATAAAAGGCTGGCCCCTTGCCTCAAGGTGGACTGACTTTGTGGTGCCTATTTATACTCCAGAGCTTCCTGTGGGGTTAGATGAGGCTTGGATGTTTCCTCTTCCCTATCCCTCCCATCCTTACTGGGTTCTCCTTGGAGCACTCCCTCAATACCTCCTTATCCAACAGCTTCTACTCAATGCTCTGTTTTCAGGGATGTAACCTGACATGGGGAAACTGAGGCTCCAGGGCAGCAGTGACTTGTCCAAGGTCAAACAGCCAGTAAATGGCAGAGGAGACAGGATTGGAAAAACTAGCCGTTGGTTCTTCCATTTCATATCTTCCGCTGACCCTCTACTTAGAACCAGCTTCTCCCAGTTGTTCCTTCCCATGGAGAAGATGGTGGGGAAGGGGTATCAGCAGGCCTGGGGGTGCTCACCATGAGCTTCTTCTGTTTAGAAAGGTAGGGCTCGGAGAGCTGGGGCTCCTCTTCATGGTCCAATTTCATGAGGTCTGTGGTGGCATTGGCTAAATGTCCTGGAGAAAGGATAGAAAGGTCCTGGCCCTCTGATATCTGGTGCCTCCCCATCCCTTCCCCCACACAAACACTGGTCCCATTCAAATGCTGGTCAGGGAGTAAAAGTATCAACAACGAACACTTAGTGAGCACCAGGGCTGTGACATGGGATGGATGAAACACCATTCAGTCCTGGGCTCAGGCTAGTGGGAGAGACACACACACAAAGGCAAATCTCTATGACACAGCATGATCCATCATAATGAGAAATGAACAGAATGCTGTGGGACCCAGAAGGCTACCTGCCTAGGCACAGGGGGTCAAGAAACCTCACTGACAAAGAGATTCTACCCTTGAATATGAGTAGGAGATGCCGGAAGTGGACAGAACCTGAAACTCAGACCTAAACATCTTCCCTGCCCTCCCCTTCTCCTCCCCCAGCATTCTCCCCAAATTGTAGCACTCCCTTCCCCACAGGAAGCCAAGCCAGGTGCCTGGGAGTTGTCCTCAGCTTCTCCCTCATTCTCCTTCCCACATCACATCAGTCTCCAGTCCTCAGGTACTGCTGATTCTTCCTTCTTAAGCTTTCTAATATTTTCTCACATTTAACCTCCCCCATTCAGTCCTCTGACTATCTCTTAGTTCAGAACCCCCATTAATCTCTCACCTGGATGGTTTTAACCCTCCCTCTGTCACTCCACTCTCTCCCCTCCAAGCCCTTCCCTCCACATCTGCCACAAAGACCTTCCTCAAACACACACTTGACCATGCCACTCCATTCAAAACACACTCCTGGCTCCTCACTGCCCTCGGATAATGTCCGAGCTCCTCGACTTGGCTTAAAGAGCCTGCAGTATCCATCTCCTCTCCCTCTCCTTTACTCCATCTTTCATTGACTTCCCCCAACTGTCCCTGCCCCTAGAGGGTACATTTTAGCCACTCCAAATGCTTGCTATTCCCTGAATGTGCCAGACCATTCCAAACCTCTTTTGCTCACACTACTATTTTCCTGGAATAGCCTCTGTTCCTGAAAACCTCCGTCCGGATGCAGCTGAAGATCACCTCCTCCATGCAGCCTTTCCTGATCCTCTAGGAGGTCTGACATTCAATGCCTTTATTCTCCCATGTATGCATGCTCTACAGATTTCTGCCAGGAAATGCAAATACACTAATTAGAGCCACCACTATGTGACTCCATTAACCTTGTAGTCTATGTGAAAAGTGTTCTGGACTTGTGCAGTCCACAACCTGTACTGCTTGCTGTACATGGAGATTTTGATGTTAATGTAGCTATCTCTGGATGTATATGTCTCCCACTAGAATCTGAGTTTCTTGAGAGCAGCGGCTATGTCAGATTCATCTCTGTTCCCTTAAAACCCAGCACAGGCCTGGCACAGAGCAGGAGCTCAGTGAGTACTGAATAAATGGGTGGATGGAAGGAATGGGTGAGTGAATGAATGACTGCAGTTGTTCAGCTTCTGTCCTCTGATGCTTCTTCCCCCACACCACCTCCTGGCCTGATACAATCCCCCGGAAACACACTCTCAGCTCTTTCACCTTTGGGGCTATATTAAGTGCCATTGATGTTTTATGAATGTGAAGGTCAAGTACAGCATCTTCTCTCTTGCTAGTCACCCGGAGCTGCCATGTGGCTCTCTTTAGACTCCAGGAGGGCAGGCCGGGCCAAGAAAAGACCTTGGACTTACTGGGAGGACTCACTGCATGCTGGCTTCTGGTCCTTCTGCACCCTGGTCCTGCTCTGGACTCCCAAGGCCTTCCAGGTACCTTCAAATGGCTCAGGATGGATTGGGGGAGGGCTTCCAGCCCCCAGAGTGCTTGGGGACCACCTCCTACCCCAGGCCAGGCCACCATCATTGCTCACCAAGATTAACAGCCAGGGCCACCTAACTGCCCCATCCATTCTTCTGTCAAGGAGTGATCTCTGTAAAATGCAGACCTGATCATGGCACTTCCCATCACTGTTCCTCTACTGCTCTTTAGATAAAATCTCTATTCTGCCAGACCCACTTCCCAGACTCACACCACGACCACTGCCACCCTCCTTGGGCTACCCTTCAACCACACTGAACTTCCTTGGGTTCCCCAAACACACCACTCCCTGGACTACCCCAGAACATAAAATGACTCTTCCTTTCCTTCTAACTCCTACTCATCCTTGGATGTTGCTGCATTTTGAAAACCTTCTGTGGCCCCTGAGGCTGGGGTGGGCATCTTCTAGGGTCCCATAGCCTCCATGCCACCCTGATCATAATGCTGGTTAGTACCAGATTTAAAAAAAAAAAAAAAAAAAATATATATATATATATATTTGGCAGCTGGCCAGTACAGGGACCGAGCACTGGAACTTGGTGTAAAATATTTTTAATAGTTTATTTTGAACAGGTTATATATATGTACTTGTCAAAAATTTAGACGATATTAAAGAACGTACAGTAAAAGTAAATCTCTCTCCTCTCCAGCTGCAGTCTCTTAGATCTGCTCCCCAAAGGCAAGCACCATTGACAGCTTCTTGTTCCTCCTTCCAGAAATATTCCCTGCATCGCAAGCACCTGAGTATCCATTTATCCCCCTTTTGAGTACATTACTGATAGCATACTAGATCCTGTTTTTTGGCCCTTCATTTTTTTTCACTCGCTAATATATCTTAGAGAGCATTCCATATGCCTATTATTTTTTAACCATCTGAACAATATTCCATTGTATGAAAGTTCCATAACTTATTTAACTCATCCCCACCTCATGGACAGCTGGGTTATTTCCAGTGATATTTCTTGCTATTTACCACCTACGCTGCAGTGAATCTCTCTGTATATAATTCTTGGTGCACACGTCCAAGTGTAACCACAGGATAATCTCCAAGGTGTGGCCTTTTTGTGTTTGAAACACACTGCCCTCCTACAAGGGCAAATTTATTTAGTCCTGCACTTTACTTATCTGGTTACTTGTCTTTGCTTCCATAGAACTGTGACCCCAAGATGGCAGAAGCTGTGTCTATCCCTATCTGTCCCAGCCCCCTGCCCAGGGCATCATAAATATTGACAGAATGGGGGCAGGGCAGTATAGATAAATCCTGAATCTTGTTCAAGGAGATTCTAAAGGGACAGGGCTGAGCTCAACAACCCAACCCTCCTCCCCACCTTTGAACATCAGCCTCATTCCTTTCAGAGGAAGGAGGTGCCCTTTACTGAGCACCTGTTATATACTAAAAACCTCATGTCTCTTCTGTCTATAGGAACCCATGGTGTCTGCATAAAGTGTGGGCCAAAGTCTATAAACGGCTATTGATAGGTCATCTGATTTACTCCAACAACCATTCACTGGGCCTTTGAAACAAAAGGATGAGCTAGGCTGTGGGCACACCCAGGCTAGTGGTTAGGACAGTACGCAGTGACCTTGAGCGAGAAATCAGAGACCCGAGTGGGGGCCTTGGCATGTCTGGGCAGCTTTCCTTGATAACTCTAGCCCTAAGGTCACTTAGTGCCCTTGGCCACCAATCATAGCCCTGCTTGTCCCAGACCCTCCCCAGGTCCTGACCCCAGATATCTGCAGCTGGAACTACTGTGGGGAGGTTCCATAGCTCCTGGTGGAAAAGACAAGCCTTGGGGGACAGATAGCTCCACAGTCTCTGTATGGCAGGACAGGGGGCAGGGAGGGGAATGAGAGAGAGCTTGATAGAGAGGGAGACAGACATACTCAGTTAAAAACAGGGTGAATGAGATGGAAGGCCAGAGAAAGATGGGAGAGGGGACAGGGAGAGAGAGAGTAAGAGGCACCCGAGTGAGAGACAGAAAGACTAGCAGGGTAAGAGACAGCAACCCCAGGGACAGAGAGAGACACAGGGACAAACAGAGAAGGTGAGAGGGAAAAGAGGAGGAAGAAAGGGAAACCAAGAGAAGGAGACCCAGGAGTGGGAGGACGAGGTCCAGGAGGACTCGGGTAGAAAGAGAGGAGAGGCTGTGAGGGGCAGTAGGAAGGGGCTCGCTGGGATCTAGGCCATGGCGTACTCACTGCGGATCTCGGCCGTGGCGTACTTGGGGATCATGGAGTCGGTGGTGAGCTCGGGGTGCAGGATGCAGCCGTGTGTGTAGGCGTCCATGGGCAGCGCGTCCAGCAGCTCGCGGTACTGCAGCACCCGCGCATGCTGCGGGCTGCCTGGCTCAGGCATCAGGGCCACCACGTGCTCTGCAGGGCACTGCCAGGAGTTAGGCCAGGTCGGCAGCACACCCTGTCTCAGCCACCCACCCCCCAACATCCAGGAACCCCTGAATGTCACGGTCCGGAGGTCCCAGGCCCACCTCCTTCGCAGGACTCAGCTGCTTGGCTGAGGGGATCCTGATGGTCTGTAGCTACCTCTTTCAGTGGGCTCTACCAAGCTGTCCCCTTGAGGGGCAGCTCCTCTCACCTTCAGACTTGTTGCCGGGCAGGGTCTAGGCTCAGTTTCAAGAAAAGCTGGTGACCTGGATGTTTAAAACTTAAGTGTCCTTGATTTGTTAACATTGGCAACTAATTCATATTCTTATGAAACAGTGCCTGTCTGGGCCCTGATCCCCTCTCAGTGACTGTCTGAGCCTTTGCAGAGGGCAGTGAGCTCCTGAGCTAGAGGAAGCCAGAGGGAGGGAGAGGACATGGGGTTCTGAGGGCTTCTGGGGTATCTGGACCCTGCCCCTTCTGGGGGATTCTGGGACGTCTGGGACCATGTCTATGGGGTTCTCGGGGAGTCTATGGCCCTGAGGGAGGTGGATGCTGCCCATGCCCTGGATCCCTTGGAGATCTGGACCCTGTCTGTGGGGACCTGAGAGGCTTCGAAGGGTCTGTGACCATGCCTGTGACTCTGGAGTTTCTAGGGAAGAGTGCTATGGCCCCAGTGCTCCTTGGGGGATATCTTGGCCACCCTTTTTCCCTGGAGAACTGGGGGGGGGTAAGGGGCGGGGGATCTAGGGTCCCCAAGGATCTGTGGCCATGTCTGTGGCTCTGTGGCTTCTGGGGGGCATCTGAGCCCTGCCTGTAGCCCTATGGTTCCTTTTGGGGAAGGCTGGGCCTTGCCCATGGCCCCCATAGATTTTCCCAGGCTACCCAAGTTTCTGAGAACCTGTCTGAGTCTGTGGGATCCCTGGGGTCTGTGGCCCTGCATGGGTCCCTGGGTGGGGTTGGCAGCTGTACCTCCAGTGAAGGTGCGCTCCACGTAGTCAATGATCTGGTCGTAGTCACTGATGATGTTGTCGCGGTGGATGATGACGGGCACCTCCTCGCCCAAGTTGAGCCGCATGAACCAGGGCTCCTTGTGCTCACTCTGTGGCAGGCTCACGTCCCGCTCTTCACATGCCAGGCCCTTCTCGGCGATCACCAGCCGCACCTGCAGGTGCCAGGGTCAGAGCGGGGAAGGCGGGCGGACACAGGGGACACTCTGCCCAGGTGGGGCGGGGGCACGTGGGAAGGGAAGTCAGAGGTCACACACAGGAGGGGACACCGTTGCTTTCAGTTCATTTTTGGGCGCCTGGAGATGGGAATATCTCCCAGGGGCATGTGCTTGGTGGTGGGAGGAACACAGCCCTGCTCTGGGGACAGGGGCAGTGCTGGCTGGTGATTAAGGGTTTGGGTTTTACAGCTCAGCACACCTGGGACAGGATTCCTGGCTGTGTGGGTGAGGGGAAATTCCTAAACTTTCTGAGCCTCAGTTTCCTTATTTGCAAAATGGTAATATTAGTAGTACCAACCCAGTATCTGGTACACAGATGCTTATCATGATCGTGATTGGACACTAAGCCTGGCCTCCAGGGATGGATCTGGCCAGAAAATTCACAGAAATTCTATCTTCATAATCAGTAGCTAAATTTCTCAATTTGGGGAACAAAAGTGAGGTGAAAAATAATTTGCCAACATCAGTTGAGCCCTTTACTGCCCCTGAACACCTTCCCATCTGGTTGCCTGATTGGATGCTTGCAATAGCTCCCAGAGCCAGGCAGAACAGGGAGTATCTTCCTATTTTTCTTGACGAGAAAACTAAAGCCCAGAGAGGGCAAGTAACTTATCCAAAGTCACAAAGCAATTTAGCAATAGACCTAAAACTGGAAGCAGTGGTTCCTGACTCCCACACTAGTGCTCTCTGTCCTGAGGGCTCCTGACTTCAAGGGAGTCCTGGGCCTGCCATCTCCTGAGTCTCTTCTTATGGCTCTAGGGAGTCCCAGACAAACATTTGACCAGATAGAAGCTAACCAGATAGAGAGCCTTGAAGCTGGGGCATGCTTCTGACATGCCCCATATTTCCGAGCTGGAAGATTGTTAGAGGTCACCTAGTCCAAATGCCCCTACCTGTGGACTGAGACTCAGAAAGAAGAATAGACTTGTCTGAGGTCCCCAGCAGGAGGATGGCAAGTGACTCCTCCTACACTCTCTTCTCTACCTTCCAGCTCCAGTCCAGGGGAGAGGGAGGGCATCCCTGGGAGAGGCAATGGCCCATCCTCCTTGAGCATTGATGTCCCCACATACACCTGGGACTGGGCATCCCCAACCTCCCTCCCGGATCCAGGAGTTAAACAGCTAGAAGAGGCAGCATGGTGTCATGGTCAGAACCTTGCACTTTGTCAATTTAAATGTCAGTCCTAACACTTATTTGCTGAGTGATGGTTTTACAAGTAGCTTTAATTTTTTGTGCCTAAGTTTCCTCTCCTGTCTAACAGGAGTCCTACAGCAATTCCCTCAGCAGGCTATTGTGAGGATTAAATGCATTAGTCCCTATGGGATGGTGCCTGGCACAGCAGGGGTGATGTGTCTTAGCTACTTGTAATAGACCAGGTTTTGGAGGACAGATCTGGATTTGAAGCCTGGCTCTACTGTTTATTTGCTGGGTGACCCTGAGCAAGTCACTTGACTTCTCTGATTTCTATTTTCTATGAAATGAGAAATGTAATCCATTCCTTCGAGGCTGGCATTACTTTGGCATGGATAGAGTCCCAGCAAAGGAGGTTAATACATGGGTTCTAACATCACTATTATTACACACACACACACAGACACACACACACACTCTGCCCTGCCCCCCCGGTTGATGTCCTCAAGTACTTCATGCCCCACCCTCACAGCAACATGAACACCCCTTCTGTTTGGTGGACCGTGGGCAAGGAGAAGCAATTTACCCCTGACCATCCACCACTCATTCACAGATCCATTTGCTCCATTAGCCAAAAGCAGGTCCTACAGGTAGGGCCAGTGGTACAGGTAGATCTCCTGGGCAGTAAGGCAGGAACCCGGATTCTCATCCTGACTCTGCCGTGGCAATGCTGTGTGACCTTAGAGCTATCACTGCCACCCCTTTTTACCACTGAACCTTCTTTTTCTCATCAGCAAAATGAGGGGGCTGAACTCCATGTTCATGGAAGGCCCTGCAGCCCTGCTGTGAGCCGACACTACATCCTGAGCATGCAGGAGACAGGACTGGCTCTACCTCCTTACTAGGCAGTGGGAGGGAAATGCTGATTCTGTCTTAGAAAGGGGAAGGAATTGTTGAGTGAGCAGCCTGGTGGTGGCATCTGTTTGGGTCTGGGTATGTGAGTATATGTGTATGAGTGAGAAAGTGTGTGTGCGTGTCTGTGTGTGCATGAGGGTGGGTATGCACGGATGAGTGTGAGACTAAGTGTGAGTATTCAGGTATTGCATGAGTGTGGTGTGTAAGTGTTCATGTGAGAGTGTGCATGTGTGCACATGTATGTGTGTGCCCTTGTGAGTATGCATGTGTGTGAATGCACATGAGCAAAAGAGCATGTGTGTATGTATATGTGAGCTCATGGGTGTCCTGTCCCCAGAAGAAGTCCCAGAACAGTCAAGGCTGGAGTTTAGCTGGAGCAAAACCACACCATTCTCTTACTCCTACCTGTTCTGACATCTTGCAGCCTCAGCAGTCAGGCTCCACCTGGATGGATGTCAGCTGTCAGCCTCCGAATGGATGGATGGATGGAAGGATGGAAACAGAGACCAAAGTAGGCCTTTGCCCTTGGCAGGTCCAGACACTTGGCCTTGCATCTTGGCAAGGCACCTGCCCCCAGAGACCATCCTTTGGGCCCTGCCCAGTGCTCCAGTAAGAATGTCAGGTATGGCTGATGCAGGGAGAGGGGACTATCTTTAGAGGCACAATTACTCTGCTTGGAGCTGCCTCAGGGTCACCCTGGCAGACAGCCAAGGAGACTTTCAGCTTTAGCTGAGCTGCAAGCCAGAGCCATGTGCCACCATCTCGTGGGGGAGCGGAATCCAGAGAGGAAGCCAAGCTCAAGGGAAGAATATGCAGCTGGGAAGGGCATGCAGCCACCAAGGCCATCTGACATCTCTGCCTCCTAGAGGCTGGACCACACTTAAGTGGTCACCTCTCAGTGCAACCAGACTTTAGCCATCTCTGGGTAAACTATCTTCTATGTAGGTGCCTGGAAATTGCCCATTCGTGCTTCTGTCACAGGTTAGGCACTGTCCTCCTTGCCCAGGCCCTTTATGAGATGGGCTGGGTTGGCATATCTGCCCAGCCATTTAGTGGCTGTGTGACTTTGGAAAAGACTCTTAGAGTCTCTGAGCCTTAGTTTATTTATCTCAAATACTCTCTTAAAAAAATTAATAGACTTCATTTTTTAGAGAAGTTTTGGGTCAAATATCTTTTTAATGTAACACCTTAGAGCTTAAAAATGCGTCACTTTTCAACATTTATTTATCGAGTGCCTAATATGTGCCAGGTCTTACGCTAAGTGCTGGAGACTCAGCGGTAAACAAAACAAATATCCCTCCTCTCAAGGAACTGACATGTTAGTGGAGGCAGACAGATAAGTAGTTACTACAACACAGTAAGTCCACCGATGGTGAGTGCTCGGGAAAAAAGAAAACAGAGCAGAGTAAGGGGAATCAGGGTGTCGGAGTGTCAAGGAGACAGGTGGCCATTCTAAACAGGGTGGTCCATCAGAATAAGCCTCTCTGAGAAGGTGGCATTTGAGCAAAGGCTTGAACAAGGTGAGGGAGTGGTCCAAACAGGGACCTGGGAAACAGTTCCAGGCAGAGGAAACAGCCAGGGCACAGGCTTTAAGCAGGGCAGACATGTTTGAAAACAGTGAGGAAGCTGGTGTGGCTGGAGCAGGTGTACAAGGTTAGACAAGGAGGTCAGGAAGGATTATGTGCAGGAGCTTTTAATCAAGACTCCCAGACCAAGGGGTCCATGAATAAATTCAGGGAGTCCTTGAACTAGGATGGGAAAATTACATGTTTATTTTCAAACTGGCATTTAGCAATTTATTCAATTATGAATGTAGGCGATAAAGTAAAGTAGTGCTAGCAGCGCCTGCAATATTGTCACCACTAGGAATCAGATATTTTCATCACTTCGCAGTTGTTGTAGCTACCTCAAAATATCATGCACACTCATCACGACTTCAACATGACAGTTATCAGATCTGCCACCAGTTCATGTTATATAATGAGTTAATACAGAAACACATATATCATTGTATAACACATTTGTTTAAAAGAATTTTTAATAGCTGTACTTCAGTATGATTGGTTTCCTTTCTAATCTGAAACTCCTATGCATTTTATTTTATTTTTTTATTTTTTATTTTTTCTAAATATGACAGGTAAGGGGATCTTAACCCTTGACTTGGTGTTGTCAGAACCACGCTCTCCCAAGTGAGCTAACTGGCCATCCCTATGTAGGGATCCGAACCTGTGGCCTTGGTTTTCTCAGCACCACACTTTCCCAAGTGAGCCATGGGCCGCCCCTTGCATTTTATTTTATTCAATTAAAAACATTATTCTGAGAAAGGTCCATAGGCTTCCCCTGATTTGGGTCCTGACTCAAGCAAGATTATGACTCTGCAGTAGGGCCTGAGACCATTGAGAGGACTCTGGGTTTTTCCTGGAGAGAACTGGGGAGCCGTGCAGGCTTCTGAGCAGAGGAGTGGTGAGATGTGTTGGATCACTGCCCCCAACAGTTCTTACCTGTGGGCCTGCTCTTGGGCAGGGAAGGCATGGACAAGGCTGGGGACCAGTGCCCAAGAGTTTGAAAGGCAAGGCCATAGTGGGAAGTGGAGATCATCCTCCACCTCTTGCTTCCCTCCTGCTAAGCCTGGCAGGACCCAGACCTGGGTCTCTTACCCTTGGTGGCCAAAGGCTGGGCCTGGGGCTCCACTCCTCACAGTTATATCCAAGACAAGGGCAGACTCTGAGAGGATGAAGTAAGGGAACTTTGAACTGGGCTTGCCACAGGGAGCCAGGGATAGCCTTCAGAGACTCACTCTGATGGAAATTATAGCAATAATAATAGCTTACTCTTATATAGCACTTCCTCTGTGCCAGGCCCTGTTCTGAGAGCTTTACATGTATTAACTTTTATTCCTTACATAAACCCAATGAGGTACACACTAGCACCTACTAGTACCCTTATTATTATACAGAAGAGGAAACAAGCACAGAGACAGTAAGCAACTTTCCCAGAGTCACACAGCTAGTAAGTAGCAATCTTGGTTTTTAAAAAGCTGGCAAGAAATAAACAAACAAACAAAAAAAAAATTTAAGAACTAAATTTTAAAAGCTGGTAGGTACGAGCCAGCCTGTGGCTCACTTAGGAGAGTGTGGTGCTGATAATGCCAAGGCCACAGGTTCGAATCTCATAGAGGGAAGGACGGTTAGCTCACTGGGTGAGCGTGGTGCTGACAACACCAAGTCAAGGGTTAAGATCCCCTTACCGGTCATCTTTAAAAAAAAAAAGCTGGTAGGTGTGAGAACAGACGGATGCACAAAAGGCAGGGAGCACAGAGAGGTAGGACAGTTTTTCCTGCTTGGAGAGGGAGGGAGAGAGACAGGTTGTGTCAAACACCTAGTCTACTTTTCTGTTGAGGAAACAGGACTAGAGAGGGTCAGGCCCCACAGCTGGTTAGTGGGATGGCCAGTACTAGAATGTCAGTCTCTTGACTCCCTGCATTTTTGCCTCTCCCAACTTTAATCCTTCTCTCAGAGGAAGAGGAGGCCAGGGGCAGAAACAGCCTCTGAAGTATGCTAACATTTACACTATGCATTTACAGCCTCCTCCAAACCCCATGGCCAAAACATCACCTATAATGGTGCTTAAAATCTCACCTTTAGCATGCAGTTTTAAAAGGCACTGTGCTAAGTGTGTGACCATGCATGGTACCATTCAATCCTCACAACCCTCTGAGGTAGGTACTGCAGTTACCCCCAAACATATGAGGAAGCTGAGACTTAGGCGAAGACACTTGCACAAAGTCACATAGCTGGGAAGCGGCAGAATTGGGATTTGACCTTGTGCCTGGCTGATTCCAAAGTCCATATCTTTGTAACAGCAACTAGCACTTAACTGAGCACTTTCTATGTGTCAGGTGCTATCCGAGGTTATCTATATGGATACATTTAGTGAATCCTTACAATGACCCTTTTGGGGAGGCTCTATCCTATTATCATTCTCGATTTACAGATGTGGATAACCGAGGCATGAGAGGTTAAGAAACAATATGGATACATTTAGTGAATCCTTACAATGACCCTTTTGGGGAGGCACTATCCTATTATCATTCTCGATTTACAGATGTGGATAACCGAGGCATGAGAGGTTAAGAAACTTGCACAGGATTACCCAGCTAGTCAGTGGTGGAACTAAGATGGAAGCCCAGGCAGTTTGGCCCCAGAGTCTTGACACCTGGATCCCCACACTGCCCTGCAGCCCTCTGGGTCTGGAATGGTCACCAGATGCCCAGTGGAGCCACCATCACTGCTGGAGGTGGACTATTTTCTGCTATTAATAGTTCATGTGCCATTAGGACAGGCTTCTCAGATGCTCCACCAGGGGGGACTGCCCCCTTCATACAAGCAAGGCCCTTCAGGACTGCAGGGAAGGAAGTGAACCTACTTGCTAAGCTCCTACTACATGCTCAGCACTTAACATCTGCCTATGTCCTCTAAAGCCCCCAGAAATTCTGGAGGGTAGGATTTAAAGTCTCCTTTTTCAGATGAGGACATTGAGGCACAGAGAGGTGAAGTGACTTGTCCAAGGTCACTTAGCCAGAAAGGAGCCAAGATAAGACTGGAACCCAGGACCATCTGATCGCAGAGCCCATGCACTTTCTGCCAGACTACAGTGCCTCTAGAATCCACCATGGGCCCCTGGGCAGGAGGAAGGTCCTGGCAGTGTAGGCAGGAGGATGCCCAAGCTAGCTTGGTCAGAGACTAGGTCAAAAGTGGGGTTGCAGTAGGTAGCCCCATCTGTGACCAAGCTGCAACCTCCGCCCTGAGCTCAGGCTGAATAGGACCTATTCTATGGGGAGTGTGGGGGGTGAGACAGGAGGCTCCCTCACGGGATGGTGATGGCTGCCCCCTGTCTTGTCTGGTCCCAGCCACTGGGGCCTGGTTCCTGTGGTTCTGGCTGGGAGGAGGTTCTTGAATCTGGAGGTCAGTTTGATTCATCTCCAGCCCCCAGCTCCTTGCATAGGGCCAGGCATATAGTAGGAGCTCAGCAAGCATGTGCAGAATTTATGAATGTGTCCCAGGATAACCTTGCTTAACCCTGGCCCCTCCTTTACCTAGCACTTTAGTGACATCATAACACCCATTATTAGCAGAGCCTTGAGCCCTCGCCAGGCATAGCCATCAGCACTTTTGTGCACCATATCTCATTTCACCCTCACAATAGCCTTCTAAGGAAGTTACTGCATTAGCCCCATTTTACAGATTATAAAACTGAGGCTTTGGGGAGACAAAGTGACCTGTCCAAAGCTCCACCATGAGTTAGCGGAGAAGGTGGCTCTCCCACTGAGGACTGTCTGGACTTAGAGTCTATCCTCTACACTGGGACTACTCAGATGGTGGTTGGTGGATCAGCTCCAGCATCACCTGGTAGCTTGTTAAAAACACAGCATCTTGGGCCCCAGTCCAGATCTACTGAATCAGAATCTCAGATAGAATCCAAAAAACAGCAGTCTGTTTTTTAACCAGGATCATCCAGTGATTCTAATGCACGCTCAAGTTCAAGTAGTGCCAGTCTAGAACACTAAGTTACACTGCCTCTTCAGCAACCCTCTCAGCAACTCTGAGAAGGGGTTGTAATTAGAAGTAGCTATTATTTATATCTCACTTTCCAGATGGCAAAACAGCCTGGACCAAGACTCAAACCCTAATCTTTTAGTTCCAAGGCCCCTTTCTCTTCACGGAATCTTTTTTCAATCTGGAAAACGAGTGAATGGAACAAAAGGATCTTCTTTGGAAGAAGAGTCAAAGGGTCAAGCAGTAGGTGCTGCTTAGGCCTCAGCAGTATCCGCCTCTGGGCCCTGGCCGTGGTGCTGAATTCCTGACCTAGAGATGGGACTCCTGCCCCAGTGGGAGATTGCACCCCTAGAGACATCACTGCCCTAGGGGCGCAGTCCCCGGCCTCACCTCTGGGAAGCGGGAACCCCGATAATTCAGCACAAGGCTGGATTTCTAACTGCCCCCCAGCTCCCCTGGGTCTGAGAAGGGTCTAAGGGGCCAGGGCCACACTGTGCCTTTAAGAGCAAGACACAGATCTGACTGGGCCAAGCCTCGCTGGTCTGAGGGGATGGGTTAACTCCTTCCTTCTCAGCTCAAGATAAGGGCTGGGGGTAGGGTTGGGGGCGGCGACAACTAGGGACAGATCCTCCAAGCCCCAGCCACAGGAAGGCCTGCAGCCGGACAGAGGGACAGAGGAGCTGTGACCTGGCGGGCCTGCATGTCTGGGACAGCAGCACGGAGGGAGGGCCTGAGATGGGGCTGACGAGGCTGGACCCCAAGAAGCGCTTCTCCTCCCTCCCGCAGCACCTCCCCCCACCCAACAGGCCGCCTTTCCATTAGTGCCAATCCCCTTCCCCTTGCCTTTGTCTTTCTTCTTGGCCCTGCAACAGACCAGGTCTTTCTGGGAAGGAAAGAGGCAGAATGGATGCTCCTAGAATTCGGGACTCTGCTCTTGGGGCTCAGACAGGGCCAGTCACCTCCTAGGAGAACAGCCCTGGAACCCCCACGTCCCCAGTCCTCTCGGCTCCCCAGCCCCCCAGGTTCACCCTCCAGTCTCTCACTGCCTGCAGACCCCTGAAGCCCTTGCTCTCCCCCCCCCGCCCCGAGTCTCCTAGCCGCCAGCGCATCCCATTCCCCTGCTCCTCGGGCTCTACCTTCTGCGAGCTGAAGGACTGGGTCCAGTGGTACAGAACCAGGCTCTCCTTGGGCCAATGGGCGGGGCTGGCCGCCTGGGGCGCGTCGGGGGCCTCCGCCAGCTTGGTTGCATCGCTCTCCAGCGCCGAGATGGGCCACCAGCTGCAGTTGGTGGGGGTCAGGTTGTTGGGGGTCGCCATGACAGCCCGGAATCAGTGGGAGGAAAGAAGGAGGCTCCAGCGGCGGCTCTCTCTCGCCAAGCATCACATCACATGGCCTCGCCGAGCCTGTCCTTCTCCTTCCCCCCCTCCCTCCCTTCTCCGTGAATGTCATTACTCACTAGGCGGGAGGGGGAGGGGCAAGGGGATCCCAGGAACTCCTTCCTCCTCTCCCCTCGGCCCTCCCCCGGCCCGCGCCAGCAAAGCCACCAGTCCTCTAGGTCAGGCTCCGCGGAAGAGTGCAAGGAGCCATAGGGAAGTGGGACATACCCCCAAATAGCTCCTACCTGGCCAGTCACCTGCCAAAGATTCCACCATTATAAACGCATTCGTGCCTTTCAACCTTCTAAGAAGCAAATACCTCTTAGAACAACTGGTGTTACAGAGATCTATTCCTTTAGAAATTCCTGTCTGGAAATAGTTCGTCTTTCTTTGAAAGTGCTATTTTCTAACTTTTCCTCTGAAGGGCCTCTAAGGGCAGAAAAGAACAAAGTATGATTTATTTAACCCTTACATTGCACTTACTGTGTGCCTGGGCACCGTTCTAAGGGCTTTACAACTATCAACGCATTTGGCCCTCATAATAATTCTATTATCTTCATTTTTCAGAGGAGGAAACTGAGGCACAGAGAGGCAAAGTGTTATTGTCCAAGGTCACCTAGCTAGTAAGCGGTAGAGTTGAGATTCTAACCTGGGCAGTCTGGCTCCAGAGTCATGATAATATGATAACAATATAAACAACAGTTCTTGGGCTGGCTGGTGAGCTCAGCTGGTTAAAGTACAGTGTTGTAACACTAAAGTCAATGGTTCAGATCCCCATACTAGCCAGCCGACAAAAAATAAATAAAACAAACAACAGTGCAGCAAACATTTATCAACCCGAGCACATTACATGCATCATTTCATCTGTACAGCAATCGTTTTTCCCAGATGAGGAAGGTGAGGCTCAGAGATATCAAGTCATTAGTCCAAGGTCACATCTTCACACCAGGAAGCCAAGGCACAACTAGAGGGATCCAAAGAAAGCCTGTAATGCCTTTGCCATCACATAGTCTATCCTAAACATTCATAGGAACTTTACACAAAATTCCTTAATACACCCATGCTTCCCTGACTATAAATATTTTAACTTATTTACCATTGAGCAGAAACAGAAACAGACCTGAGACAATAGAGGCAAATAAGTTGTACTAGGACGATAAGCTTCCAGGTTTGCCTCCCTCTCCCTGCCAGTCATGCTGCTAGAGACTCCTGGGCACATCAGTCCCCAGACCATAAGTATGACTCATAAGGAGTCAATGTCCTTCCTTCTACAAGGTAATGAAAGTTCTGTGGCCCATGGATTTCCCTTTTTGCCTTGGCTACCAGGAAGCATGGAGCTACATTTTCTATTAAGTTCCAGTAGCTATATTAGCCTCCCTGGCTCAGCAAATTCTCTTTGTCACCCTTTTATGAATAGTCTTTTTCTTTCTCTTCAGAGCATCTTGTTCACTGTTTGATTTTGCAAAGAAGGATACAGTGTATCCTGAGGGAAAACTCAAATATCTGTGAAATCAAGGAAGCATGTAATGGAGTTGGGATGTATTGTCCTCCCAGAACTTGTGGAAATTTGATCCCCAACGTGGCATGTTGGAGACTGACGGAGTCATGGGGGACTCCTTATGAATGGATTACTGCTTTTCCTGGGTGGAGGAATTAATGAGGGAGATCTTACTCTATTAGTTCCCCTGAGAGCTGGTTGTTTAAAAGACCCTGGCACCTCCTCTCTCTCTCTCTTGCTTCCTCTTGCCATGTGGTCTGCTTGTACTCTCCAGCTGCCTGTTGCTTTCCACCTTGAGTAGAAGTAGCCTGAGGCCTGTGCCAGATGCAGCTGTCCCAGAATTGTAAGCCAAATAAACCTCTGTTCTTTATAAATTACCCAGTCTCAGGTATTCTGTTATAGCAACACAAAATGGACTAATTCAGCATGACCTTAGAAATTTGATCAAGGAGAAAGATCTGATCCCTTTCTGTGTCTTGAACCTGACTGTATCCATGGAGTCTGACTCACAGCAGTCATGTTCAAATATGTATTCATTCCCTCAACAAGTATTAATTGTGGACCCACGGCATGTTAGGTGCTTTACTTGGCACCTGTATTAGTCTGCTTCTGTTGCTTATAACAGAATACCTGAAACTAGGTAATTTATAAAGTAATGAAATTTATTTCTTTTTATTTTTGGCAGCTGCCTGGTACAGGGATCTGAACCTGTGACCTTAGTGTTACCAGCACCTTGCTCTCTCAAGTGAACTACCTGGCCAACCCTATTTCTTACAGTTTTAGAGGATGGGAACTCCATGGTCCAGTGGGCACATCTAGTAAAGGCCTTACTGATGGTGACTCTATAGCAACACAGGTATCACATGGCAAGAATAGCAAACGCTCTCTCATGTGCTCCTTATAAAGCCACCAGTACACACTGATGATATCTCATTACTCATGATCCAATCACCTCTCAAAGGCCCCACCTTTCAAATACCATAATTGGATTTCCCACCCTTTTAACACTGTTACAATGGAGGTCAAGTTTCCATTACAAGAACTTTTGGGGGACACATTTGACCCATAGCAGCACCAGAGACAGAGTGATAAATAAGATAGACACTGGCCTGCTTTTTGCATTTTTCTCTTAGCAATATATCGTGGAAAGAGTTTCCTGCCAGTACAAGTTTAACCCATTCTTTATAACACTCAACTCTATATGGATAGACCATAAGAAATTTAACAACTCCTGTTGATGGACATATATGCTGTTTCTAACCTTATGTTATAAAAATAATGTTGCAGTGAATATCCTTATTCATGTATGTGTGTGTGTGTGCACGTTTGAGTATAATCTGCATGTTAAATTCCTAGAAGTGGAATTGCTGGAGCAAAAGACATATCTTTGCCAAAGTTTCCTCTGAAGAGATTATAGCAATTTATACTTCCCACTAATAATCGAGGAAGTGCCCATTTCCCTATACCCTTGCCAACACAACATATTTTACACATTTTTTCTTTGTGAATCTATTGGTCAAAAATGGTAATATTGGGCCGGCCCGTGGCTCACTCGGGAGAGTGCGGTGCTGATAACACCAAGGCCCCGGGTTTGGATCCCATACAGGGATGGCCGGTTAGCTCACTGGCTGAGCGTGGTGCTGACAACACCAAGTCAAGGGTTAAGATCCCCTTACCGGTCATCTTTAAAAAAAAAAAAAAATGGTAATATTATGAAAAATGTTTTTACTGTGCTTTTAAAAAGCTTTTTATTATAAAATATTTCAAACATATGAAAAAGCAAAGAAAATAGCTCAATGAACACCTGTATCTTCATGACCTAGATATAACCATCGTTAAAAATTTGCCGTTATCTGTTTAATTGGGGGGGGGGAGGTAAAGTCTTTTGAAATAAATTATAAGCATCATGGTACTTCTCCAACTAAGTAC